AATGGGAGACATACATGGAATGGAGCAAACACTACAGCACGTCGTACCAATGCCTCCAGAACTGGATACTGATGACTGGGTTCTCAGATTCCGATATTATTCATTTGAATGTCGCCGGCACATCTATCATTGTCTTATCCTCGTCGGAGGCGGCCGTGAATCTGCTTGAGAAGAGGTCCGCCATTTATTCGGATAGGCAAGCTGCTGTTAGTATGGTTTCGAGTCCTCTTTCATGACGTACAAAATTCAGAGCGCGACTTCCGATGATCAACGAATTGATGGGTTGGGATTTCCACTTCGGTTTATACATTCGGGTCTGTGTTTCGGAGGCTTGCTGATGCCGTTCAGGTTTTATGAAATACGGTTCGAGTCTTCCAGTTTGACCAGTGTATAACGATTAACCGTCTATGAAACCTCACAGGCGAGAACTGGTCAGTACTTCGCTTCAATCACTTTCTCCCTTACCTTATTTTCATTAGGCGCACGCACCGACGCTTGTTTCACAGCGCATTCCACGCCGAAGCTGCAAAGCTATTCCGTCCTAAAGAGCTTGCAGCAAGTCACGAATTACTTCGCCGCATACTCCAAACCCTGATGGGTTCATGGACCATTTGAGACAGTACGCAGTTGTAGTTCTGTTTCTTTCTGTATACGTCCGCTGAAATCCATCAGCATGGCCGGCGAAATTATAATGTCTGTGGCATACGGAATTGATGTCAAACCAGCAAACGACCCATACATCACTCAGGCAGATGCAGCTCTGCATAGTTTGGTCAATGCCGCTGTTCCCGGGAGGTTCCTTGTTGTGAGTGCCTCAATCTGCATGCACCATTCATGATTCCACCACAAACACTACATAGGATTCAATTCCGCTGTTGAAATATGTTCCGCCGTGGTTCCCTGGGGCTGGCTTCAAGCGCCAAGCGAATACATGGCGGAGCTTAGCGCGGGGCATGGTTGATAAACCTTTTACCCAGGCAAAACTCAACATCGTGAGCTCAAATATTTTTCATTTGATTTGTGTCTCATTTCTGTAGGCTATGGGAAAGGCTCCGCATTCTTTCATCGCATCCGCGCTTCGGACGTTGGACGACTGCACAGACAAAGAATACCAGGAGCAGACCATTAAATCGACGGCTGGGGCTATGTACACGGCCGGCACCGATACCACAGTTTCGGCTCTGGGCACGTTCATTCTTGGCATGCTCTGCAACCCTGAAGCGCAGAAGATGGCCCAGGCTGAGATCGATTCTGTCGTCCAGAAAGGTCATCTACCCGATTTCGAGGACGAGGAATCTTTGCCGTATGTATCTGCAGTTGTAAAGGAGGTCCTTCGATGGAGGTCTGTGACACCGATTGGTTTGTTCGCGAGGGAACATGCCCGAGAAATTAGCTGAACAATTTCTTAGGAGTTCCCCACTTTCTATCGGTTGAAGACGAGTACCGGGGGTATAGCCTGCCTGCGGGTTCAATTGTGATCGCAAACGTCTGGTACGTAGCACAGCTATGAGATCTGAGACGTAGACTTGAACTGCTCATAGGGCTATCCTTCATGATGAGGTAATTTTTAGCCTCGGATCTTGTATCCTTATCTGACCTGTGTTAGGTCATGTATCCAGACCCATATGCATTCAAACCCGAACGCTTCCTTCTGGACGGGAAACCGAATCCCGCTATCAGAAACCCCGATGCAGCATTTGGCTTCGGGCGACGGTGCGTTCATCCATCGTCCAAATGCTAGGTTAATGCCTTCTCCTAGAGTGTGTCCTGGAAGACACATGGCAACTTCGTCTGTGTGGATTACTATAGCGTCTATTTTAGCCACATTCGATATCACAAAAGCCGTCGGAGAGGACGGAAATGTGATAGAACCCAACCATGACTACTTCTCCGCCCTTGTCACGTAAGCCCTGTCCCTTAAAATCTCGAAATATACTCATTGGTTTATACCAGCATGCCCCTCCCCTTCAAGTGCTCAATCAGGCCCCGATCTCAAGAGACTGTGGATCTAATACAGGCTACATTGAACGAGGATCTAGCAGTCTGATGCGGAATTTGAAGGACGAACTCTTTATGTGTCGGAAAAGTGATATTTTCTATCAGCCAACGAGTTATCGAGACTGGAGATGGCACAAGTTCAACCGTGTAATATTAACTGTTCTCGCTCAGTTTCCACCCGAATTTGGAACATGTAAGTAATCCCTCTAGTAAATAAATACTGTTTCTCGACCCTGTAGCGTTTGTTGAAACAATGGTTACTCTACCTATTAACACTGTGAAACTGTTGGATCCAAACTGTACTCTAAATCTAGAACTTCAAGTAGTGTTCTTGCTGGTTAATCTTGTCAATACCCCACGGGTGACGCCAGTAGGATTAATCGGAAGGAAGGGAGATGCCCGTGTACGCCTTTCGACCCTTGTCAGGTTCATTCTGGTAGCTGCTGATCTTCAATGACATCACCGCCTCCTGGTTTTTTCTTCTTCTTTCTGGTATTCTATGCTCGTTCAGGCGATATTCACGAGTCTTCAGAGCTCGTACTCTCAGACACCGTGGGAGGACTCAGTGTTGAAACTTGAACTCTCGTACGGAACTCCCAGTTTTAATGGGGCCCATCGACTAAATTATGGGCTTCCTTCATTTTTTCTTCGGCTGAAAATTTTACTCAAGTTTTCATACTACTGCACGCACATTCTCTCGCGCATTCTCGTTGGTCTTCCCGATGTTTCTGGATTGCGGAATTCTAGTCCTCGAGCCAATTCAAAAGAAAAACCAAAGAATTCTAACGAATTACAGTAATGAACCTGATTTTTAAACACTTTTCTCGCATGCTGGCGGAGCCATGGGGGAATTGTGATTTGAATTTCTGGTAGGGGGGGGGGTCTCAGGACCGCTGAAATAATGATAATAATCTACGTATACGCTAGTAGGGAAGGAAAAGAGGCTGCGGAACTCAATTCTGGGCCTCTGGAGGGTTTGAAGGACTTAAACTTATTGTTGGAGATCAAACAGGGGTTTGTGCTGGCCTGCAGACAGCCTGCAGAGTGCTCGGGCTGATTTTTTAGACCTAAAGTGGGCAATATGAGATTGAAAGTAAGTCAAAGCCAATGGGTCAATCAGAGTAGCGGTTTTCGGGCGGTTTTGGGGTCGGTTTTGCAGTGTTCTGGAAACAGTTTTGGAAAATATTTTCTCAGAACCGTGTGAGAACCAACCGTCAATTTTGACCGACCCGATTTTGAAAGCGGTTCTGCGAATAAAAAATACTGAATAACCGTGTGAGAACCGGAATCATCTTATATGGTAAAACCTCCTCCAGAGGAGTTTCTGCAGGCGGTTTTGGAATTTAAATTGATTCTCTCCATTTATTTCCCCCTCTTCGCAATTAAAATGCCGAAGTACAATGGGAGTGGGACTCGCCCAGTTCAGGTGAGTCCCATTCTTGAAGGCAATACTTACGATCATTCACATCAATCCATCATTCTCGGCATTCTGCAGCCGATTCTCAGTGTTCTCTGGACTGTGGGGTTGGGAATAGATGCTGTGTATAACGAGTTCGTCTTTCAGAGGGGTACTTATAGCCTAAGGAACGAATGAAACAAGGGCAGTATGAACAATTGAACCATAAGATAGTGACAGTCGAAGAGAGAAAAAAGGTGTTTGAAGACAAAGGCTGTCCTATAATTGTACAAGCAATAATAATAAAAAATAAAAAACCAAGGATGGTTGCAAAATCAACGCAACAACAAGCAGGGAGGAACATTACAGCTGTGGATAATCACAAGGTGTCGAGATCCCATAATAGTTAATACAAAACAAGGGGGAAGTTTGGGAAGAACAATACAGCTGTTGAGACTTACGAATTCACTTGGAGCGCTATCACCGAAAGAGAAGAAGGTGGCCACATTATTTATTTGGTGCGACGACCGTGGGAACGAATCGGCGAATCCCGATCGGCCGGTTCAACAACAACCCACTAACCAGCCTGGCAAGCCAAAAGCCGTAGAGGTTTATTAATGCCACAGATAGAATTTATTTCTACTTCATAATGAGGAACACTTGAATCAATTCGAGTGTGGCCACACACTTTGTTACTAAGTCACCTTGCTCCTGTTCCCCTGTTCTCTTTTGCTGTTGCAGTTATAGGACTTCCTTTGTTATTCAAACTGTTGTTAAATATGTCATATATTGGCCAATAATGCGTTGCAGGTCTATTGCTTAGCTGCCCTTGTTGTTCCTGAGGGTATGAATTCTCCTCTGAGAGACAAACTCTATATTTTTATACAAAATGTCCGCTCCCCATACAGTAGCTTCACATTTGACATCCCAGGTGACATAGCAGACACAAAGCCTCCAGTTGATGAGCTGACTCCCCTTGCGTCGAAACGAATACACGCATACAGTCCGTGGTACAATTCTAATCGTCGGTTACTAGAGCTTATTAGCAACCGATGCAGACTCATTTTGTATCAATTCTGATTGTCTGGAAGGCGTGGTGCAGCCAATCAGAGGACATAAAACTAGTACAAAATTCTTTTTTCATCGGTTGCTAATAAGCTCTACTACGCCGGTTTTCCATACGAAATATTCAGTCAACCGACACCCACCGCAGTACCAAGCATTGGTATTGGTGTGTGTCTGTACAGCTCTCCAAACGATGTAGAAAACCATGCAGTACTTGATGAATGAGTGGGTGGGACAAAAAACCTGAAGAAAACCTCGACCATCAATGTTCGACTCAAATTTGATGGGAAGTTGATTTGCCATCATTTCGATGTTGAACGCTCCCCAAGCCTTTCCCCTCGTCCTAAAAATATGGAAATATTCCCGGAGGTAGGCATGATAATATATATTTGTGTTCTTTTGAAACAACGTGAAATAAATGCTTTTGGAAGAAAATACCGGAGATCTCGCAACCACCATCGATTATCTGATTGTAGGCAAGAAACAGAAGGTTCTGGCTCGTTTCAAAGGATTTCCGCGCCGTTTCCGGACCAAAAACAGATGGACGCGTTGGGAATTGAACCCGACACCTCTCGCATGAGGCTCATGACCTGAATAATGCTAAGCGAGCGTGATAACCAACTACACCACGCGCCCGTTGGAGGCATTGCGACATGTCGTTTGGCGTCCAGAGATTGGCCAGAGCTCTGGAAGCCACCCAGAAACACAAAAACATTATAGGAACGCGGGTTTCAGGTTCTTCACTTTTCGCGCCGGTGGGTTCATTTCCCAACTCCCCCATACGCACATTGCATGGCAAAATACTAAGCAGGGAGCAAAAGACAAAAGTGGAATCTTGCTCACCTGCAAGATACCAGAGATAGGAAGGCTCAAGAAGAATCACACAAGATAGCAATAAGACCCTTCTCGGGAGTTGGGGAGTCGTAGCTAGCGTACAGGGAAGAAGGACGTCGTAGTACAGGAAGAAAAGAGAATGTGCTGGCAATGTGTGGCAGTAAGGCCATAGGTAAATAGATGTCGTAAGCAGCATGATTACAAAAAGAGGATTTTACCATGCCATTGGATGCTGGACATATTGACCTTTATCACGTTTATGAATTTGTGAACCCACCTTGTTGAAGGCATCAGGTGAATAATTGTATCGGATGCCTTGAAACCAGTTCGCTTGGGACCAATTTGTACAGTCTCTATCCGAATATGATGATTTTTCTTGTCAATTTCGACCACGACTCAGACTCTCGAAGTGGAACAGCAGCACATGCACTATACCAAAAGCAACTGTACAGTGTTTTTGTATTCTGTCCTTTTGGGTTCACTATATTTTTCTAATGCACCTCGCCGCTTCCATCCGAGGTGGAGCCTGTCCCAGTGAAGTGCAGGCTCCAAAGAGCAGCAACGCGCAGTGGGACAGTATGCCATGCTTGTGCTGATAGCCTGCTTTGACTGGAGTACCCATGGTTGATTAATTGAGCATGTACAATGTGCCTTGGACCATGCCAGGCTCGAAAGCGCCCGAGATCTTCAATTGAATCCTCTACGGAGTAGAGCTTTTTTATGGCATCAAACACATTTAACACGCCCTGCCAAGTATCACCGCCTTTTGACGGAGTGAGTAACAAATCTACGACCATAGGCACAGACATGAATACTAGCAGGGCTCTTTGTTTCCCCTTTGACTTATTTTTGCCTCTAATCCTCTCCACGCGACCCTGCGGCTTTTACATATGGTAAATAGACGTACTTCCACTCCCAAGTTTTGCGCAATGAAATAATGTTCTACTGTCGTGAATCTGAACAAAAAGCTGGGTTCTCTCGAGCTTTCTGTTTCTTCCCCCTTCGATTTATTTTTCGCGTTTTCCCGTCACGAGACCTAGTACAAATGAAAGAAAAACCGGCAGCAACCAAACAAACCCCAACAACAGCGCATCAAATCCACCTTGATCTCCGCCATCTCCTTTTGTGGACACTCTTCTCAGCTCTCCGTGCATGCATTCCTCGGATGGTTATTCTTGCACTTGACGCTCAATCTCGACGTACCACGTATTGAATGCCATTGCTTGGATACCGATTGATTTGGCGGCGCTTCGAGTTCGCAAACATGTTGCATTCAACCATTTGCTCAATTGTTTCCCCGTGGCGATACTTGCCGGAGCCTTCAATTGTACTCCCAATTTGCCGACAAATATCAGACGGTTTCCGCGATATCAACACATTCTGTGGCATCTTTAGCGCCCCATTGAGTCCATATGATTGGACGGTATTAGACGCCCAGGCATGGAATACAGCGCCTAACCGTGACACCTATCTCTGACTCTTGATATCTCCGAGCTTTCTCGTCTCTTCTGCCCACCGTCGCTCCCAGGAAACGAGCTTGAGAAATCCCGCCGCTCCAAGGAGACAGTCTGACCTCCCAATTCCACAGATACTCGATGGCCCAGGCCGCGCAAACACAACTTATTGGAATAATTGACCTGCAGGGCATCCTCTCGGATGCTTTGGCCTCCTTCTCACCACTGGCAACACTTGTCGGGTCAGATTCCGCGCGTTCGCTGACCCAACATGTTACGAACACTAAACAAACATTCGTGGCTTCCTTAGCACCAATCGGAGCACTAGGAATGATGTCTAGTGTTTGCAAAGGTGAGCGGCACGTGTTTATAGTGTACAATTCCCGCTTCTCCTGACTCTCTATTTCGAGGGCGAATCTGCCTGGCCTCAAGGACATGCTCGGAGCCAGCGACACCACTATCCTGGATTCATGCTCAGATCTGGGATGTGGAGCCCTGCGTGGGATCGTGCCTGGGATGAGTCCCCGCGGAGGGCTCACTACCAACCGTAGAGAGAACCCAGGAACACCGGTGCCGCAGCCTGTGGTATCTTGCGTGCTTCTTGTATTCTTGGAGACACTAAGAATGGCATGGATATTGGAAAGGTTATGGCGGTCCTGGATTCATTCTCCTCGGCTACTGTGTCGGGCAGATTCCAATGGATCGCGAAGAACTCCGAGGAACAATGGAACATCATCAGCGATATGCAGCGCGTGTTGCTGAGCGCGTTTGATGGACACATGAATGGGATCGAGAAATATTTGATCTCATTCAGACGGACGCAGCGCTCAAGGGCGGTGAAGCGACATACGAGCTGCACTGGCCCGCTCCAGCAATGCCCATGGAAACAAACCCTTGGATTATTTTTGTCTTTGGTGCCGCATCAGTATTGAGTTTTCTTACGGTCGTGGTCATATCTACGGTTCGCCAATGGCAGACAGTCCCAGCGGCGTTCCTATTGGTCGGAGGTCAAGCTGTTTTGGCCACAGGCCATGTTGCTGCACAATGGAGCCTTAAACACCAACGGAAGACAATCTACCTTGACTTTCCCCGGGGTGGCTTCTCGGACACCTGGATGCTTGTAGATAATGTGTGGTTCACGAGCATGCTGGCTAGGCGTCCGTTAAAAGGCGACTCAAAAATGTCCCACATCAAGATTGGGCAGTACCTGGAGATGAAGAACATGTATATACCCACTTGGCAAGCAATTCTGACATTATCGGCCATCGGCATCGGATTCATCGGATTCTATGTCGGAGCCAAATCTTCCAACGTTTACACTATTCTTGTTTATATCGTGAGCTATCTGCTTCAGCTGTTACATTCCGTGTACTTAGGTCATTATTTATTCTTAGGTCTTATTCCTTGTCGTGAACATGGCCAAAGGCAGCATAGTAACTCGGGCAAACAGGGCCGAATTCATTCATCTCAATAATCCAGGCTTTCGTAACCTCCTGGTAAATGAAACCTCCTCAACTGTGCGGCAATCTTGGTGGCGGATATTCCGCCACAAAGTGAATTCAACCGCTGCTGCTGATCAAGGCTTGGGTGAGGACTCCACCGAAGCTGGACAAGTGTTGGAAATGGCAGATCTGCCTGAATTCAAGGGACCAGCCATTCACGAGTCCAGTGCAAGTTCCTCTCGACATACACTATCCAATGATCATCCTGGGCTAGATCCATTATCTTCTGGGTCACAGTCAGAGAATGGCTATGTCAATCCTAGAAATGTGCCCCGCTCTCTCTCAAGGTCTTCACATCACTCTTCCCGTGTATCTTGGCAGCATGGCCATTTTAATCCCATCAACATCCCCTCTCTCCATCACTATCTTCACATCTGTCTTACCAAGCAGCTTCGGAGGAGGAGGGGTACAGCGAGGCCCTCATACCGCTTCCCCCGTCTAAAGCATCCACAATATCGGGGATGAGGATCGACAACCTGAAAGTCCAACACCGTGTGTTTGCAAAAATGGCAGTACGACACACCTTGGCAATGGGAATGTTTTATTTCAGCCGAGGACATTCGTGGGGAATGGCGGCCCATATGATACATGATGCATGCAAAGCTCATGTTGCATGGCAATGGCCTCCGAACCTTCGCGAGCCCTTCATGTACTTACCGCTGGGATACTACACCAACAGTGGGGAGTTCGTGGACGGTGGGCTGGTTCTCGCCATTGACGAGACACGCCACGAGGATTTATTTTGGAGGGCCGGAATGGAATTTATGTCCATTCTCCTCGATAATTTCCTATCAGACAGTCAACTGGTGTCCGAGCTGCCGGGATCCACCAGCTTGGAGCTCTTGGGGTCCTACGTATACCACATCACAAAATTCCTGTTATCGACTGGAGAAGATCCGGGTCAAGGCTCTCCTGGGCGGGGCAGGATAATGAGAGCCATTGACCTCGTAAAAATCAAATATCCGTACGATGACACCGATGTCACCGTACCAACTCTAAGAGCGTACGCTCAAGCAGCGAGCCGAGTGTAATTGGATAAATTGGTTGCACCGCTAGTTCCGCTCTTGAATTCTCCATTCAGTCCAAGTCGTAAAAGAATCTGTCTACTGCACATAGATAATAAATGGAAGGCGGTTGACGTGGTCTTCAATTCTCGTTTGGTTGGTGGCTGCTTCATTCTGCCGAAAATTCAAAGTCTGTTTTCCTTCTGCTGCTTAGCTACAGCATTTGTTGAGTCCCTCCAAGATACTGTACCAGTGGTTCAAAACATTGGAGTTGATCCCCGAGATGGCCGAGTCTCATTTCATTTTATTCTTGGCAATATCTTGCTCATATAATAACCCAATGATTTGGGAGGGTAAGCACCCAAAGGCACATGCTCGACTTGGCATTGTCTGCCACTGATTTAAGTAGGAGGCGGGTGATGTAGTTCGTCTAATAATTCTCTTTTGCTCTTTTTCGTTGGGTGCGTACTGAATTTTTATGTTGAATTCGAGGGCAACCCATGGTCGAGTCTTGAGTTCGGTTGAAATTTGAACCTGGATTTTTTTGGTCTCATTATTCTGCATATATATAATACCTCAGCGGTCAAAGGACAGTAAGTACCCGAAGCACATGGTGTGCACCTGATTTGCATCCGAGATCTGTGAAGAAATATAAGCAGGAGGCCCTCGTTCAATTCGAGGACGGGAGGTGCTTGGTTGACTCGGTTTTTTTCTTTCTTTCTCGGTGTTGGTTGAACTTGCCTTGGTTCTACGCACGCTGAGATTTTGCATCAGCCATTCTGCGATAAAGCTGTGTATGTTGAACTCGGTGTATTTCAACAGAACTTGGAATGAGTTCTCAA